TAATGCTTTTTGAATTTTCAAAGGGAATCCTTTTTTTAACCTCTTTTACTTCTGAAACCACCTTCAGCTATACGTATCATTCGCTTCCTCTTCCAGTTCAGCGATGAGGCGGAGTTGCCACGAGAAAATCCTCTTAACTTCACAGCAGTTTGAATTTCGCCTTGCACTATGCTGATGGACCTGACACAACTTTCTTTTGCCTTTTTGTGCTCACTTTCCCTTTTTTTGGGAAGGGGAGGGGGGGGGAGTAAAGCTGAGGACAACAAAAGTTTACTGCTAATAGAGTAAAATTAAGCTAAGGAAAGCTAACTCAACAACTAAAAGGTGGAATTGGAGAACCTCTGAGGAGCTACAAAGTGTGAGAACCCTCCCTTCGTGTCGTTAAGGCTGAGGCAAGTGTATGAACAAAAATGAAACAATTATTTGGCGCTCCACTGGGAGAAGGGAGGCCTCCAAAGGCGGACCACTGGGAGAGGCACTTGTGGTGCTGTATTGCCGCCTTCCAAAGTGGTCCATCATCGCAATGCCTTATGAAGTGGGTTCAAACAATGAAGACGAATGCACACTCATGGAAGCGGTAACTCGACAACTGCGTGAATGAGGTGGTGAGGCAGTGGGGATGTTTAACCATGCCAAAGTCACTTTGCAAGAGATGAAATTTTAATTATTCCATTCAAAAATGACCATTTGTTGTGGATCCCCTTCCAGTTGTAAGGTTGAAACGCATTCTCACGAAGAAGACTTGACAAACAGGTGACTGCGAATGGAGAAATAAAAAACTGGAGAGAGGTCAACCGGTACCGAGACAAGAGAGGGACTGCAAGAAGTGAGTGGACGAAAAAGGCAAGTAAATATTTTTAAGCAACACCTAAACTAAAGGAGTAGGCTTAATTTTTTTATTGCCCCATGAAGTATTTTGAATTGTGGAAATTCCCTACAACTTTGGAATGACGCAGTGTGTGAGTGAAGTAGATGTGAAGAATTCTCACACTAAAGAGGCAGCCTCAACAACAAGGAATTTACCGAAGTGAAATTCGATGTAGAGTACATTTACACCTACTTCAGCACTATGGAGAGCTTTGTTTATCTCGCTTCTCTTTCCTGTTACTCCTTCTGCTTCTTCGCCTTCTCCTCCTACCGCCCTTATCTGCCCCGTTAAGCACTCATTGACCGCAGGTTGATGAACGGATGCGATCTTCCAAACCATCAGTGAGTAGTCGCCTCCACAGTCTCAACTACACTCCACTTTCGGCTTTAATCGCGCCACTAATCATGCTGAGCATCTGCCTCCTCCCATCCAACAATGTCCTCGTCATCCTCACCTCCCACCACTACTTGCAGCATCAGAGGAGGTGAGAGAAGTGTGGAAAGCTGACCAAATGCCTCCGACGTGATGTCTGTTGTGTCGGACGTGGAGACACAGAAGTGTGGATGGGTGGATGCGTGGAGACACCAGCATGGAATGAGTTCTCGAAATACCAGTCCAATGAGCACATGGTGAGCAGACGTGTGGTTAGTACGGCAGGTAGTGGTGACTGGTGTGGTGTGGTGCAGTGCAGTGCAGTGCAGTGCGGTGAGGTGCAGTGCGTGGTGTGTGGTGGCGGTGGAATAATCATGGTGTGGGTGAATGTGAGGTGTGGAGAGAGGAAGGGAAGGCGAATGCACCTCAGATTCAGATGTGGATGGGAATTGGGTGAGAAGGAGAGGATGCATTTGCATCAATTCGAGCGTATGAGGAGAAGTGGTGGTGGTGGTGGTGGTGTCGGTGGTGGTGGCGGTGAGAGAGGCGATGCAGCAAGTGAGTAAGCGAGATGCACAGACATTGTGCAGTGAGTGGTGAATGAGAGTGGGGAGTGAGTGGGTGAGTGAGTGAGTGCGTGAGCGAGAGAGGGGAGTGGAGCGCACTCCTCTCGCCCTCCCACTGCATGCAAAGTGAGGT